TTTCTTTATTTGAGTTACTCCGGTTCAGGTGGGGCTGCGTAAGGAAGCCGCTGGCAGCCGCAGCCGGTGGCCTTGGACCCGGAGAATGGCTTTGTAGCGGTATAAATGTCTGGGTGAGCTACCCCATCGAGAAAACACAATTTACACACACCCACACAAGCACAGAGCGATAGGGAATACTGTATTAGACTCGCACTCTTCCATAATCTTTAAATGAAGATTTATAAGTGTGTGCAAGCCTAGCCAGCTGCCCTCTGCATGCATGCATACACACACACACACACACAAACACGTAGGGTGTGTGTGTGTTATATAAGAATAAGACAAAAGCTGCCGGGGTGAACACTCTCTTTGCATTGGGTTGCAGTCACGCCCTGACACTCCAGCAATGTTGGGGCCCCTTTATGGCTCCCCGGTCAGTTTCTGAGCAATTTCTCCTCTCCAGGAAGATGTTCTGGGGGTCCCTGAGTTTTGGGCCATCTTTAGCTGCCCCACAGCAGTTTCCACCTTCACCTGCACCCTGGGGGAGGCCCTGTCCTACTTTGCAGGGCTGTTGCTAAGAAAAAGAACATCAAAACTGTCAACAATTACTAAGCATTATAAGATTCAGCATTGATTTTGTGCTGGGGGAGGAAAGAAGGTTTTCCCACTTTTCTTACAGTATTGGAATGTGGGCTTATCTGGCGAAATTGAATAATGGGTGATTCACGACAGGTAAATTACATACTAGCTCTAGAATTTGCCTCTGTAGGGTGATATCTTTAAAAGAAGAATTTGAAAAATTCATGGAGGAAGAGGCTGTCAGTGTCGGTGGCCAGTGACTTGGACATTTTGGACTTATTCCTGGATTGTGGATTTCTTTAGCATCTGTCTGGTGGTGGTGGTGGAAATTCTAGGTGGGCCTTTGATCTTTACATAGCTCTAAAAGATGGCCTTGTTTTTATCCCTGATGCTGGAAATGGCTTCAAACTCCTTTTTTCTTCTCCTTGTCTGTGAATATTGCTTATCCGGCTTAGAAAGGGCACCCAGATAGGTTCATTCTACAGAAACTCGGTGGAGGAACCAACAGTCAACCCTTGTCTGAAGAATTCAGAAGTGAGTTCAGTTCATTGCTAACAGCGCATAACCAGACGTGTTGGGGATAATACATTCCAGAAGTTGATTGCTAATGGTGTATTACTTGTTTACATGGACACCCTTTGCTATGCAAAATTGTCCATGATTTGATCTCTGTAGGGGATGTCCTCCTCTAGCTGCCCCTCTTCTGTAGTTAGGAGACTCTCGCCTTACAGCCCCGTCCCGTCTGATGAATTCCAAGCAAACTTGCCTGCTGTGTTTTTAATTTGTTCTCTCTGCTTTTTTAAAAAATCACGATTAGCTTTAGCTGTCTGCCCACACTACTTAACTTGTCTTTAAGTTTTAAACTGTGTGTAAGTAAGAGATGTAAGCCATCCTGAAGGCTATTATAGCTGTATAACAGATACATATCTTTAAAATAAATAAAGAGGGAAGGGATAAGGAGTTGGCCATTAGCGAGGCAGGGGTGGGGTGAGGGTGCGAGAGACAGAGAGGAATAATGGTGACCTAACCTTCCTGCTATTCAGGAAGGATTAAACTGTAAAGGAGGTGTTGGCTGTTGGTGATTGTTTTGTGGGAAGTTAAATTTGCCTCTGCAGGAAAGAGTAGTGTCTGGATGACCTTGTCTGGATGAAAGCTAAGCATGGCTTGGCCTGGTGGTTATTTGCATGGGAGACTTCCAAAAAATACCAAGGTTACAGGCTGCAATTCCACTAATGCATATTAAATTAACACTGTTTTTGTTCTGACATTGTTAGGTGACTCTATTCATCTTCGATTAGAAAAAGCAATGCCAAATTCATGCTGCAGCTGCTGGGCAGGAGAGCCCCACTAGATGGCAGCCCTGAGCTGATTTTGGCTGATTTCAAGAAGCTAAGTGGAGTTGGATCTGGTTCATACTTGGATTGGAGGCCACCAGGAAATACCATAGCTGTAGACTAGGCTGGTGAGTCAGATAACCTGAAAGATGGCAGTCGCTATCCAGTTCCCTATTGTGGCCAGGAAGGCTGCGTGGTTGTGCCAATGTAATCAAGTTTGATTCAAGGCCATTGTGACTCTTTAAACTGGATTTCAGGTTCTTCAGCAGCCTCGACTCCAAGGAAAGGGAGTGGGGGAGCAGAGATGGTGGGGAGAGAGACGAGACCCCTGGAGGGTTGGTGGAGGAAGATGGGAGGAGTGAATATGACCAAGCACAGGATGAGTCAATATGACCAAGCACGGGATGAGCTCATGTTCAAGTCAACACTTCGCCAATAAGAATGGTGAAATATGCTTGGTTCTCCACCCTGATTGTGTCTGTGTGTTGCCATCTGACAAACCTTGTTTAAGGCTGCCCATTCTCTATTAAGGAATGTTGAGTGGGAAGAAGTATCACCTGGCCACTGAAACCAATTCGTGCAACTCAAAGTCACTCATATTGGCAGTAATCTTGACTCTTCAAGGGCAGAATCTGATATGGTACCTAGAGCAATATCTTATCTGTAAATTTGGGGGGGCTTGTGGTCTCTGATAAAGTGGACACCGTGCTTTTTACTATACCTTCTGCACTCAAATCCAGGCCTCTCTTGGTTCCTTCAAGGAGCCAGGAATAAAATGGGTTGCAATCCCCATATTAAGTAATAATCTTCTGGAAAATAGGCTGGCGACCACATTGGTGACTTTCTGGGAGTTATTAACGATGGAACTGTTCTGGAGGGCATTAGGGAATGAATGGTCATCATTGCACATGTTGTATTATGGGAGATTTCTGTTTTTATTTTACGTTTTTACTGTTTTATGCTTTTATGATGTAAACCACTGGGAATTGTTTTCTGAGTCTGGGGCTATTCTAATCTAATCTAAAATATTCCATAATTTATAGTTCTAAAGACTCACTCTGGATACAGTCCAAGAAATGTTAAATATGAGTAAGTTCCATTACTACCTTTTGGGTTAATTTCTATCCCGTTGATTTCAGTAATATTTAAATGTGTGTGTGAGAGGTTATGTATGTATTGAAACACATCCCAAAATGATTTGCAGCTTACCAGAACAATGCAATAAAATCACAATAGAATAAAAGAAAAGAAAACCTTCTAACAAACAGGTGTCAGCACTTAGTTGACCTGGGCAAATTTTAGAAGCTAAGTGTGGTTGGCCTTGGGTAGTATTTGGACAGGAAAATATCTGCTTTGGCTAATCTGGAAAGTAAAAAAAAAAAAATTCCTGGATGAAGCAATTGCAAACCACTTCCATCATGTTGTTAAGAAAACTGTAGATGTAGCCACCAATAACTAATCTCAAGGATATTCCACCTTTTGCAGAACAATACTGGAGTTTCAGTACTGATGCAGTTTTTATTTGCCTTTTGAAAATTGGGAAGTATTAGTGCCACCTGAGCTACCTTTGGGGGAAAATTTCATAGAGTGAGCCTTTAGGGTAGCACCCCATCTCAAGTCCTATCAACCCGACTTCTCTTGGTGCTGTCATCTTCTTAACTTTTTCCAACTTGTACTTGTGGAAGGTTGTTGCTTTAACAACAAAACTGCTATATTCTGAGTTAAGCAAGAGCTAAATGATCCTCTTTGCCTTGTGCTTGCCAGATTAGTTGAGACATGGTCATAGAACTCCTTTAAGTATGTTGTACAAATGACTTGTTCCTTCATTTGCTCACAATAATGATACGGAGAAAGTATCTGAGATACTTTGTGGTATTCATAGAAAATGGGGCAAGTGGATTGGAATCCTCTTGCAGATTGGTTTGGTCCCTGATTTTCTATTATTGCTCCAGATTCTCCACTATGAAAAAAAGCTTTGTGTGAGTTGCAGCAATTTCTTTGCACGCTATCACGATATTTGAAGCATTTTTTGTGCTAACAAGTCTGGCCATGGAGGAATTTCTTGCAGTGTTTTAAGGTTACAGTGCAAGCTTTGATTAGCTTAGTCAGAACATTTAAGGTGAATAAATGTCCAGGCTAAAGTTTAAGGTAGGATAAGTGTTTCATTTTTCATCTAGATTCATTTTCTGTGTCATGGGTTATATGCAATGCACCTAAAAATGGGTGGAGTTTCAATCATGCCATCATGGCTCTTGACTTTTTTGACCACACCCTGCAGACACCTCTGCTTCATGTTATTATAATAAGAAATAAACTAAAACAATATTAAAGATTAATTTCCTTTTTCAGAATGAACAAATAACCATCTCATGTTCTATCACATGTCCCCCAAAAGCCCACACATTGAGGATTTGTTAATCGGCAGGTTTATTTAAATCTGAGGAATTATTTCCCTTTTCATAGAATGTATCTACCAAAAGTTAATCGGATGAACAGCTCAAACTCTAAGGACGTACTGTAGTTGCGTTCCAGATGAGTTGAACATGACATTTAAAAGGCCTTGGTGAAAAAGCATGCATTTCAAGTTTAGTCCATGAATGCCTGACAGTGTTGTATTCTCTTCAACTCTGCTTCATTGTTCTTCATTCATTCAAGGACTAGTTCCTGCAGATGATCTTTACATACACAAGCAAATATCTAGCCATAGCAGCTGCTAGAAAGTATAGACATTTGCATATTCAAAACCTACGTAAATTGGACATTTGGTTCTTGAAGCAGAATTTTGTCCTTGCTCCGAGTCTGGGAACTTGGTTTTTAAAAATATATTGCAAAGCCTTAAAACCTAGGTTTCATGAAGGAGTCTACTTAAATAAAAATGCAAGCGTGCAATAAAATGTCAAAGTAATTGGTATCCGTAAAGGTACATTCTTTGAATGATGGCTCAGTTTTTATTTTTGATCGCTCAGTTGCCATTGTCAATGACTGGGTGAAGCCCCTTTCTTGAGCCTCCTCTTCTAACATGATTCTGAGACTGTAAAAAAAGTATCATACAAGAATAATGAGGCAAGTTCTTCCCTTTAGCACATAGTGTTGAATTGTCTTCATAATAGTTCTTAGACCAGTGTTTTTCAAACTTGGCAACTTGAATATGTATGGACTTCAACTCCCAGAATTCCCCAGCCAGCATGTCCACACATCTTCAAATTGCCAAGTTTAAAAAACACTGTGCTAGACCATTGCATAAAGGTCAGTCATTGGATCTGCGGCTGGATGATTAATTTTATTGATCCCTACATCCTACACTGGATGTAGGGATCGATAAAATTAGGGTTTAAAATCCACTGTTTGTGAACAACTTGAGAAATCACTCCACTACTTTCTGTTAGCTATAGAGCAAGCAATTGAACTGGGCTAATGAACTAATTTATCAGAGTGCATGCTACCTTATTGCTCTGTTGTCTGCTCTTCCTAGTCAGTGACTGCAGTGAAAAATCTCTCTCACTCAACAGAAGATGAGTAAGGTCATCAGTGAGGGTCAGCCCTACAAGGTAGACCAGACTAAGGAACCAATGCCATATAGGCCAGGACTATTTTTATTGTAATAGCTATAGTTACAGAAAGTATTAATATGCATCCTCTCTCCCTCATTTTACCTTCGTCTGAACTAGGGAGGTGCTTGTCTGAGAAGTTTTCTCAAATTAGTTTCTTGGAAGGGGTTCAAAGCTTATTTGACCATTGCCTTGGGAGTCATCAGCCCTTCAAGGTAGTCCAGACAAGAAACCAAAACCATGGGTACTAACAGTAAGATACCTTTATTGTAGGGTTATAGTGACAGAATCTTGCAAATCTGAAAGGACTTCTCCCTTCCTTTGCCTTTACTTCCCAGAGAGCTAGGGAGTGTCCCTTCTGAGATGCTTCCCATGCCCCCATTCCTTCTGTAGGTTGAGATATCTCTTGTCTGATCATTGTCTAGGCTGCGGTTCTTCCTCCTGTCTCCCAAGGTTATTCCCACAGTCCATTACAGTAGTGGCTCTTCCTCCTGTCCTTCAAGGCCATTCTCTGTTCCCTCTATAACAAGTACCTCATGGTATGAAATCCATTGAGTAGTTTGGCTGGAATACAGAGACAAGTCAAATTGCTGTAGGATGTACGAGGATGGTTTGGCCTTGGTTTTCAGGCCCAGGAACCTAGACAATTGCAAGAGAAATTTAATGTCACAGCAGGTACCTACCAGGAGAGGCACCAGCCAAGTTTTCCCAAAAGCATTTTGCTATTTCAGTAATAGTCTTTGGGCACATCATCATTTACTCCTGTGATTTTCTACAGAATGCCCAGAAGGAGGTCAGGCTCTCTGAGAAATGGAAAGTGTTGAGTGACTCTGCTTTGGTTTATAATAAGGTGGGAAATTGTACAGTCCTTTGTTATCCAAAGCCTGCTTGGTCGGCTGGATCAAATGAGTGGACTGCCCTCGGCCTTTTTGCTTCCTTCACAGTTTCTTATGTGAATTTTTATATTGTGAAAGGGTGATTTGTTTCTTCCATAAAGATCTTTTCTCTTCTCTTCTCTTCTCTTCTCTTCTCTTCTCTTCTCTTCTCTTCTCTTCTCTTCTCTTCTCTTCTCTTCTCTTCTCTTCTCTTCTCTTCTCTTCTCTTCTCTTCTCTTCTCTTCTCTTCTCTTCTCTTCTCTTCTCTTCTCTTCTCTTCTCTTCTCTTCTCTTCTCTTCTCTTCTCTTCTCTTCTCTTCTCTTCTCTTCTCTTTTTTTTCTTTTCTTGTGAAGTCTGTCACCTTTGAAGCTCGCCTTTGAGAGTTTTGATACTGGTAGAATAAAGGATGTCATGTCCTTGGAAGAAGGTGGATAACATGTTAGGGAGCATATTCTAATTGTGGGGAGACCGATAAACCCATTTTTCCTTTCTTTCCCTTGCTCCAGAGTGCTAGAGAGGATTATTGTGTTTGTGGTAGAAATCCAAACTCCTTATCTACAGACAATTTCCTGTCATTCTTCATTCCTGCCCTTTATTTTTCCTTCTTGTCCTTCTCCTGTCCCTTGTACTCTTCTTCCACTTATATGAAATTGGGCTGAAGATGGTCTCTGTCACCGTATGTACTTGGGAATGCAAGGTGCCTACTCCTAGTTTTAGCTGATGTGAGTGGTGGATGTTCTTAGTAGCAGGCATTTTTGCTTCAAGGAACTAATGTTTTGGTGATACTAATAAAGTATGCTGTTCAGTTTGGCAATATGGGTATCAAAGAAAATGGCCAGAAATGTTTAAAAGGGCAACTTATTGGGAAGACCTTAGATAGATCGATAGATCGATCCTAGGTGAATTTATTTTCTATATTTAAATTTTGTTTTTTTTTCAAAAAAAATATTGGATCTGTTCATAAACAGAAAGACATTTTATTGTGAAATTTATCTGATTCTCCTTATTTTTTTAATTGGTTAAATGTATATCCTGCCTTTCCTCCAAGAGTTCACGGTAGCATACATAACACACATCTTGCTCCCATTTTCTCTCAACAATCCATTGCCGTAAGTTGAGTTGAAAGAGAGCAGTTGGGCCAAGGTCACCAGGTGAGCTTCCAAGCTTCCATGGACGAGCATCTACATCTCCCAGATTGTAGTCAGCATCTTAACCATTTATACCACACTGGCATTAACAAACTTCTAGCTAAGCTAGTATCCCCAAAAACCTCTAAAGTTGGGCTGCTTATTTCTTGGGTGTAGTGGCATCAATTCATTGGTGCATACATCTTTACAAATAATTGTGTACTTGCTCCAGACTGCAACCATCTGTAGGTTGGAGCATTAAAAGATAAATGGGAGAAGAAATCTCTGAACCCATCTTCCTAGGGTGTACCATTAGTACAGAACACCTATTCTTTACAAATTAGGTTGGGATGATAGGGTGAGTGAAGGAGTATTTAATTCAATAAATCTAGTATGAACTGATAAAACTCCCCTATACTTGAGTGTGTGCATGGACATGAGCAGAAAGGCACATCTGCCTCGGGATTTTAATCCTTAGTTACTGAAGACGTGTATTTATCGCTTCTCATTTAAAAAGAAAAAAATCTTTTTTTAAATATTGCATTCTTCCACCCATTTGCTGTCTGCCTTCCAAAAAGTCACAGTTTGCAAACCCTGGGAACTAAGAATAATCATTGCCAAGCAGAATAAACCGTCTACTATTTTCATCCACGCTCAATGAATTCGTTTCCTTTTTTTTTTTTTTGAGCAACTTTTAATGCATGGTCCCGCCTGTATTTTTCAGAAACATGTTCCTCTTTTTCTTTCTTTATTTTATGGTTGCTAGTAGAGCAAGTGTATATATGACAGTTCTAACAGGAAAAGCATTAAAAAAAAATTAAAGAAACAACAATCTTGTTTATAGCCGAGCGGGTTAAAGCTTCCTTCCTGGTTACCAGAACACTTCCTCTGTATCTGCTTATGAAAGGAAGCAAGAAAAGCAGAAGATCTTATATGAACGAACAACTTTCCATGTTGTGAATTGTTGCCATTTTAAAATAGGCAGGATTCAAAACTATACAAATGAGGCTTCTCCAGAAACTCAGTTCCTGCTTACCAGTCAGGTAATATATCATTAAATAGTTCATCTATTGCTTTCTTGGACCTTGGAAAACTAACAATTCTACTCAAGAATTGATGGTGTCCTGCAATAGCTTTGCTCTTCTCATCTTTTGTTCTGAAATTTTCTGGAGATCAAAAGATGGGGAAGAAGTTATTAGAAAAGGAGTTTTGCATCTGAGGTTTTGCTGTGAAAAATAATGCTGATGAGCAACATCTCTTATTAGTTAAGTAGAAACTAACCAAAATAGCTCGTATCTGTGTATCCTTCATTTCATCTGATATAGCAGCAGAATGGACAAAATTTAAGACAAATTTTAAATACTTGTCATTGGTCATGTGTGATCTAAGATATAAGTTGTTTGAAACGGGTTGGAAAAAGTCTTTTCTCCGCATATGAGCTGCTGATGTTCTGGGGTAGATGAATTTTGATTTAATCTAGGAAGACAATTGTTACTTATTTTAATGAGATAAAAATACTCTTATATCCCCTGCATTTTCCCCCCAAATATATTTTTCTCTTCCCTTTGCAATTGGTAATGATGCTGGCTTCGAAATGCTTTTTTTTTTTTTAAATAGAGATATAACATTTATAGAGCAAATGGCATGTTATACATTAATTATTTAAATACTGAGGCTTTAAAATGCTTCAGATCTTAAATGTATTTCCAAGAAACAGTGTCTACTTAATATTTGGAAATGGATGATGATGACAAAATATTAAAAATGGCATTTTCCTTCGGGTTAGCATGAATCTATGAGTTGGATCAAGTTTTAAGTGCGTGCAGTTGGGCTCAGTAAAACAGATTTTTAAAAAATCCTTCTGATAGAGGAGAATACGTGTAGCTCAGGGTTGAACTGTGGAGTCCTTGGTGCTCTCTGAGCTTGGTTGTTTCCTTGCAGATGTTTCATTACCTGACTAGGTAACATCATCAGTTAAAGTGAGTGTGGGGCTTGCTCCCTGTTTATATACT